TTGCTGTTGCTTATTTCCTCCATTAATTCTAAATAGACTACATAAGATACCATCTCTGAAACATTTCATGTTATTACCACCTAAATTCCTCTTCCTCAAGTGCCAAGATTGGGTATACCTGCCTATGGCAGCATATCTGACAAATAGGTATGTCAGGGATCCCATAGAAATAGGTGCTACACAGGAATCTCCAGGATGATGGATTTTAGTTATCCTTCAGGTTTGGGACTGAATTCACTCCAAATGATAGACAGGTCTACGAAGGAAACTATCACAATAGTTGAGTATGCACACTTTAGAATAATCAGCCATCCTGGATCAAAAGGGGAACATTTATCTGAGTACAAAGTTCACAAAGATTAGGGAGGATGGAGGAATGGAAGCAGGAAACACAAGGAGAGAGTAGGTTACGTGCTGTTCTATGGAGGATCACCTTGGATGAGATGAAACAAGATGTATATGATTTTCTGAATATATAACTTATTTCCTATGTAAACCTTCACCCAGCCTGCGTATTTTTCCCTATTAAGTTATTTAGAGTATTAAATGTTTTTTAATGTTCATTTGTATTTAGAATATGTAAATTAAATACATGGAGTGGAATGTTAATAGAATTACTATTTTTGTGGATATATTGGCTTCAATATAATAATTATTTTCAAAGGCACACTGTAATTATCATTATACATGTTTGGAAATATTAACCATAATAAATATAATCCAAACTCAAATCACTGCCATGGAGTCAATGTTGATTCACAATGACCCTGCAGGACAGGGTAGAACTCCTCCAAGACCGTAACTTTTCATCGGGTGGAAAGGCTCATCTTTATCCTTAGGAGAGGCTGGTGGTTTCGAACTGTTGACTGTAGTTTTACCAGGCCGATGCCTACCCACTACACTACTAGGGATTCTCCTAAATGTAATTAATCCCATTAAAATATCTAGCTATAAACCCCCAAAATTGTGTTAGAGCATATGCAAATCATGATACACAAACACTCACACTCACACTAGCAATATATATTTATGTATCTATGCATCTGCCTCATGTACACAATTGTAAATACACAGACGCACACATATATCCTTGGTGTGTAAGATTTACTGAATGCTTAGAATTCTTTAGTCCCATAATTTCTTCTCGTAATTTGTATCCCATTTTTCCCTGACCTATCCTTTAACTCTAACCCTTCCTTCATTTTCTTCAGTTCTATTTCCATATATGTGCCCTATAATAATTATTGATGTCTTAGTGATATAGGTTTTGTTTAAATGTTTTAATTCAACCATTAAAGCAACATTTTATCTACATAACAATAGCATGTAGTTTTCATAAGCAACATATCAGCGATAGATACAATTATAGACCTATGCTTCACACATGGAAGAATGAGATTGTCTACCATTATATTATACAGACTATTCTCAAACCCAGATCCACAGCTGGCTGTTCTTTTCCGTTTTGTTCACACTGACATTCTAATGAAGACTTACAAATACGGCTAAGCCTTCGCGACTTAACTCCCTCTTCCACCATCCTAAACCCAGCCTATGTACACGTGCATACATACAAACATACATGTAAATAAATATCACTGTGTTTCTGAAAATGAAAGGGCTTAATTTATTTGCCTTATGGCTTACTTTAACAACAACTCATTTGAATATAACACCACTGATTCCTTTTTCTGAAGGGAGCCTCACTACCTAGTAACCTAATCAAATCAAACATGATCATAGTCCAAGAAGTCAACTCTCATTTGTTCTTTTTTGTAAAAAAGAGATAGAATAGCTCATATCTATTAGAGGTTTTAATACTCACATGTGATTTCCCTCTTGCTACTTGTCTCACCTCTCTTTCAACTTCCCCACACTCTGTATTGAAGAGAGAGAATAAAAGAACTTCCCAGTTTCTCTTTCACTGCCCTCCCCATCTAATAGCTTCAAGGTTGATCCAGATTTTCCATGGAAAGACTCATGGGATAATTTTTATGATCACATTTTCATTTTTAATTCTCTAATAATTACCATTCCAATTTTAATATTTTAACATACATTATATATAATATTTTTATATTATATTTCAAATATATATTTTTCACATATAAATTATCTGACAAACTTGGTGCTATGCTTTCTTTGCTATTGGCCAGGGTAGGTTTATGTCCTCTGCGTTTGTTTTCAGGGATGTTCCACCTGCTTATGTCTTGTTCAGCATAAGGAGAAGCAGTAAACTCCCCTCCCCATGTGTAATGGGGTGCATTCAAGTATATATGAACGTGATTCACGTCCTTTGTAATTAGGTGCTATTGAGTCAGTGCTGATTCACAGTGACCATATGTATTGCAGAAGGAAGTCCTGCCAGGGGCTATATGATCCTCACAATTGTTCTTATGTTTCAGCTCATTGATGTAGCCACTGTGTTACTCAATCTTCTCCAAGGTCTTCCTCTGTTCCACTACCACTTTATTTTATCAAGCAGGATGTCTTTCTCCAGGAACTTGTCTCTCCTGACAACACGTTCAGAGTATGTGAGACAAGGATCGCCATTCTTGCCTTTAAGGATCCTTCTGGATGTAATTCTTCCAAGATGGATTTATTTGTTTTTTAGGAAGTCCTTGGTACTTTCAATATTCTTCACAAACACCATAATTCAAATGCACCAATTCTTCTTCATTCTTCCTTATTCAATCTCCAACTTTCACATGCTTATGAGTCAATTGAACATACCAAGGCTTGGGTCAGGTGCACCTTAGTTTTCAAAATAACAGCCTTGCATTTCAGCAATTTAAAAGGGTCTTGTGCAATGATCTACCCAATATCATATATCATTTAAGCTTTTGACTGTTTTTCCATGAGCATTGATTGTGGATTCAAGCAAGATAGAATTCTTGATAACTTCAAACTTTTTGCTGCTTATCATGATGTTACTTACTAGTCTAGTTGTGAGGATTTTGATTTTCTTTACCTTGAATTGTAATCCACAATGAAGGCTGCAATTAGCAAGCGTCTCAAGTCCTCACTTTTAGCATGCCAGGTTATGTCATATGCATATTGCAGGTTGTTAATAAACCGTCCTTCAATCATGTTGTTACCTTCATCTTAATATAACTCAATTTCTCAGAACACATCCTTTAAAACACTATACTTTAAAAATATATAGGGGCATCAGCACGTTCTTTTAAAACAATATGTCTGTTGACAATCCTTGTGTTTTGGAAGTCTTTTGCTTTCAGAGATGAAAGAATTACTCAAAAAAAAAAAAAAGAAAGAAAATCACAGTCATTGACCTGGTTCAAATTCCTAGTGATGCTGCAGAACAGAGGAGAACTGCGTCTGTGCATTTCTGAGACTGTGCTGTTTTCTTTTTTTTTTTAACTGGGGTAGATAATCTTACCTTTCTCCCTTGGAGAGACTGGAGGTTTCAAACTGCTGATCTTGTAGTTGCCTGTCCAACTCATGACCCACTACATCATAATGCTGAAACGGAATAAGGTTAATTACAGTAATAGCAAATGATGAAAAGGACCCCCGCAAGCAAGCAGTTACTCTCTTTTGTGCTTTTCACATCAAGATTTATGATTCCATGTTCTTGATTATACAGATAACAAAGTTATCGTGGTAAGCATGAAAAAAGTCAAAAATATTAATGTAAAACAATATAGCATTTTTTCTGGGATATCCATGAAGAACAATTGGTCACATATGTTCATTATTAACTTTAAATAAATGTGGTTTTTTCCATGCTGTGTTAAGGGGTGAATATGGTAACTTTTATTTTTTAAAGATATGTATCTTCTTCATATTTAAGTGGAATTCCTGTCTCATATTATGTTAATCTATTATATCATCTGTAGGAGGAGCCGTGGTGTTATAGTGGTTATGCTATGATCGCATGGTTGGCAGTTCGAAACCATCAGCAGCTCAAAGCAAGAAAGACTGAGTTCTACTCCAGGGAACAGTCACAGTTTCAGAAACCCACAGAGGGTCAATGTGTCACCATTGACTCCATGGCAGTGTGTTTAATTTGGAGTTATCATCTCTAAAAACTTAAAAACAAGAAAACCCAAAGTAAAAATGTTTTAATATGCTCATGGTTTCTAATTACTTATAAATATTTAATAATAATATCTATTTTATCAAACCATGCATTATATAGAAATCTTTTAAGTTGATTTACACAAAAGTAAACCCCAATTTTAGTTTTGGTTGGTATTGATAAGCTAAGATAATTTTTCCAATAAATCCTCAATGAAATTATTCTGTTCCTCTAGGGAATAGTCTCTGAAGAGTCACTGTTAAGCCAAGATGAATTTATAGTTTCATTAATGCATATAGCCAAGTTGGTTTTCAAAATGTTTTTCACAAGTATGTGGACCTTTGTGGAAATGAATACTATGGGTTCCAATAAATATTAAAATCTTTACAATTTTAAATATTAAAATCCTTACAAATTAAGTTAGCACCTTCTAAAATTTTTATTGAAGAAAGGCACTGCTCAATAAAATTATAGAATTAAAGAATAAGGAAGAAATGATGGAAGGAGAAAGAAGATCACTTTTATGAATGGCTTAATTATATATTGTTGTTGATTTCATATATATTTTTTAAAAATTCATTTCTTGAAGTGATTTGGGTAAATATATACAACATCCTTCTTTAAAAACGAAAAGAAAAAAATTAATAAATTCCTCATTATTCCTTATCCTTCAGACCTAAATACTGATCTGACTGGCTAAAATAAAAACGGAGGCAAAGTAAAACCGAAATGCTCTTGGGGTCTTTAGTAACAAATAAATTCATGACAAAAATATATTTTTAAGTAATTATAATATCACAATAGAATGTTTTATAATGTGTGACACATGCACTACTTATGTAGTTGGGAATCATTCCCGCAGTATGAAAAGACCAGGTATATTTGTTTAGAGGCAGAAATTTGATTAAACATATGGCAAGAATTCTCATAAACCCAGTCTTTAAAGAAGTGAACTATTTCACAGCAATTTTCTCAGTGCCATTATGACATCCTGGTTTCTTAGACTATATATCATGGGATTAATCATTGGGGTTAGAATGGTGTAAAAAAGAGAAAGGACCTTTCCAGTTCCTTCTGAGTGACTGCTTTTGGGTCGTAAGTAGGTAATAATTCCTGATCCAAAGAATAACCCCACAACCATAAGATGCGATGAACAGGTAGAGAAGGCTTTAGTTTGGCTTGTGGCTGAAGGCAACTTCAGAATGGTGGAGATAATTTTACTGTAAGAGCCAACTATCAACAGAAATGGAACGACACCAAAGAACACAGCCACCAAGTAAATGAGCACCTCATTTACAGAGGTGTCCACACAAGCCAGGTTGAGCACTGGAGGGAAGTCACAGAAGAAGTGGTTGATTTGGTTAGAACCACAAAAAGGCAGAGAAAAAATCTGGTATGTCTGCACAATCTGAAATGGAATTCCAACTATCCAGGAGCCAATCACCAGCTGGACACAGACTGTGGGGTTCATGATGAGAGAATAGTGCAGAGGGTGACAAATGGCCACATAGCGGTCATAGGCCATCACTGTCAGAAGCAAACACTCTGTGGTTCCAAGCATAAGGATAAAGCACATCTGTGTAGCACAGGCAACTAAGGAAATTCTTCTTCTGTGGGTCCCAAGGTTCATCAACATTTTGGGGAGAGTCACTGATACATAGCATATTTCCAAGAAGGAAAAATTTTCTAGAAAAAAATACATTGGGCTCTGGAGAGTAGAATCCAGTTTTGTTATTAAAAAGATGGTGCCATTGCTCATGAGGATAATAATGTAGATGGTTAAAAACAACCCAAAAAGAAACCACCGTAGATGGGGCATATCGGCAAAACCCAAGAGAACAAATTCCATCAATCCAGTTAGATTGGCTTCTGGTGGTTTGTCTTGAAGATTCATCTGTGGAAAACAAGCATTTATGTGTTTCGCTTTACCTTCTTGTGTCTCTACCTCTTCTCTAAACTGTTGTGAGATTTCTGGATTGCCTTGATCACTGCCATTGTTTGTAATTTTATGTGTGCCCAAATCATCCTGCTAAATCACAGCCCAATATCTTGTCAAATTTATTTTAAGATCATTTCACTATATGTTTGGGACGCATATGTTTCGATATACCAAGGTATACCTTGCTCAGCACAGATTCTGCATGAATTATCAGTTGCAGCAGATAGGCCTTCATCTTTAGGCCATCTGATCCCACTTTAGTTTAATGAAATATCTTAAAAACTCGTGCTTTCTCTGTGAATTTTATCAGGCAAGCCATTTAACACAATGACATAAACTTGTCTTATAACTATTCAAATGCCGAGTTGAATGCTTCATTCTCATTTCAATTGATTATTTTAAGTATATACATTCCTATTTGACAGGTCATATTAGATAGTTGAGACAAATTGTTGGAATATCAGGAACATAGGAACAAAACAGGAGGGTTTTATTAAGGAAAATTCGCCTAGAAAATTAATTTGGATGCCAATAATAATTCTTGCCCCAGGAAAGTAAGGGTGGCATAGAGTATTTGTTGACTGTTTACATCAGCCTGGAACAGGTGGAAGGAAGATGTTGGCTATTATGCTATACCCATTGTGCTTGGTGTCTTCCCTTCCTCCCAGCCTGTGTTATTTCTGCTGTTGTCACAACATTTCAGATAGGAGTAAGACACTTCATAGAAGTCCTGGACTTTAGAATACATTTATTGTTATCTATCATTGCTATTTGGGAGCAATTATTACTATTACTTTACCTCACTTCTTATTTTTTATCATTACCTTCCATTTATTATTATGATTAAAACTAATTTCAACATACTACTCTGAATTTTTCACAGAATTCTATACATGAACAATACCCTCACTCTGTATTTTATTTGCCTTTTTGTTACGGGTTTATTCGTGGAAATAAAATGAATTTTTAAAAGCAATGATCAACTTTTACATAGTTGAAATAAAAACCAATTCTCAAGTTGTAGCTTCTCTACAAATCCTACACCATTTTGGGGGGCTTATATTATTATCTTTACACTGTGAACTATAACATCTACAGTACTTTATGCTGCTCAGCCCTTGGAATTTCAATTAGGAGAATAGCTTTTGATCATATATTCTTTTACCAATAGTGAATTTTCTGAGAGGTTCAAGTTATAACTATAATTGTACTTGAAATCAATATAGATAGTAGATGATGGATATTCACCAACACAATACTCAGGCTTGTAGGTAGAGCTGAAATATAGGCATTGACATAATAAAAATGAAAATATCACTCTTAAAAGCCAGAGAACCAGGACTCATAAGAGGTCAAAAAAAGACAAATTATATGTATTCATTTATAAATAACTATATTTATATAGTTGTTGTTTGAATTGTCAAGAGTCAGTTCCAACCCAGAGACCCGTGTTCAACAGAATGAAACACAGTCTGGTTCTGGGTTACCCTGACTATTGTTGCTGTGACTAAGCCTATTGTTGCAGCCCACATGTAAATCCATCTCATTGAGAGTTTTCCTGAAGTCATTCTCCGTAGATGATTGATCCTTCCTGAAAACATGTTCATGGTACCTATCACGTGAGATGGATCTAGCTATCCTACATTCTATAGTGCATTCTGGCTGTACTTCCTCCAATAATATTTTGTTTGTTCTCCTAGTTGTCCTTAGGTGCCAATGAGTCCGTTCTGACTCATAGTGACACAACAGAATGAAGCAATGCACGGTCTTAGGCCATCTTTACAATTGTTCCCACTATAGTCAATGTTTTTCTTCAGTACCATAATCTAAAGGCATCAATTCTTCTTCTGTTTTTCTTATTTATTGTCCAGCTTTTTTATGCATGTGAAGAGTGAAAATTGAAGACTTGGGAGAGACATATTCTAATCTTTCAAACGACATCTTTGCTTTTTCACAATTTAGAGAAATCTTTTGCAGCAGATTTGCCCAACAATATAGGGCACTTAATATTTTCTCACTGCTACCTTCACAGTTCCTGATTATGGATCGAAGTAAAACAAAATCCATGCCAACTGGAATATTTTTTGTTCACCATGATTGTGGGTGTTAGTCCTGTTGTGAGTATTTTTAAGAGTGACTGAAGTTTTTAATGCCCTCAGGCTACCTAACTTCAGCTATGCTTGTATTTATAATATACATTCAAAGAATAAACCCCCAAATATATGACTAATCAAATTAACTTAAATGTTTAGTTTTTATTTTATAAGTACTTTAACTTATAAAATAAAAGTAACTTGGATTCCACACCAATTTTACATGTATGTGTATTTCATGCATCGATTGACTTTAAACATCTTATTAAAATATCGACATTAAAATACATAAAGATAATGCTTATTTGCTACAAAGTTTTGCTGGGAATTGTTTCCTTATTATTTTTTACCAAAAATATAGAAAGTTTTCAAAATCCAATATTTCACATAATTTAATAACCCTATTTAAAATAATTATTGAGGGAAAATTACATTTATGAAAGTCAGAAATATGTAGGAGCTGTTTTAATGACATATCACATTTGTTACTAAATATTACATATTAATTTTAATAATGTCGTGAACTAAATGTTGAATAATAATGTAAAGCATTTAATATTTACCTTTCTAGTTTGGAGGAATAGCAGTCTGGCATTTACAATGATTAAAGACTTTGGCTGCTGAGCAAAAAAGTCTGTGATTTCAACTCACCAGTTGCTCCACAGGAAAGAAAGAAATGGCCAACAGTGTTTGTAAAGATGTTCAGCCTTGGATTTACGAAGGGCCAGTTCTACTCTGTTCCACAGGGTCAAAGCGAATTAGAGTCAACTCAACCAATGCCAATATATTTGGGTTTCAGTTTATTTGGGGCAATACTCTGCCTTCCTCATTAAAAAGGTTTAAAGATTTAAGAAGTTAAATTACTTTAGGTTAAAGAAATTGTTCCACCGAAAGTATTCAATCCAGTTCAAGATGGTCAATTCCTTTTGAGCCTTAGTACTCTTTAAATAGATAAAGAATGGTTATCTCTATTGGGAACACTTACAGCTGACAAATAACTAACTAATTAAGTAAATCTCTTTGGCACTCTTTGATTTTATTTCCTTATCTTCCCAGGATACCCTTCTATGGCCCTCAGTGGACTACAGTGCACAAGTTATTTTATGT